TATGACATACGTTGGTCTAAACCCATAGAACTACAAAACACAAAAATGAAACATCATATAAACTATAGACTTTGGTTAATGATTATGCATCCATGTTGGTCATCAGCTCTAAGAAATGGGCCACCCGAAGGCAAGACATTCATAATGGGGAACTGAGTGTGGGAGGCACATATGGGAGCACTATACTTTCTGATCAATTTTTCTGGAAACCTAAAACTGCTCTAAAAAATAAAGTCTGTCTATTTAATATGCAGCTGTTTCACATGTAACATTTAGGGGAGGTGAGAAAAATGTGAAGATTAATGAACTAATAAAATGTAATTTTACTTAATATCTATTTCATAACTGAGTTTTTTTTATTGAAATATTATTTAGGCTTTATTAGTCATTTATAGCCTATTATTTAGGCTTTATTATACTATAAAGCCCAAAGTGTTGCCTTTAGGGGATAAAAAGGAGCCAAAGCTGCCCTCGAGATGTGTCAGGACACATGGGCTCCAAACTCAGTTCAAATCAAGCCTTGTGAAAGAGGTTTTGGTGGAGGCCCTTTTTGAAGGCATTTTAAAAATAAGAAACCATCAGTCTCTCCAGCATTCATGGTCCATATGTGTTCAAGATATGACCATTTTCTTTAGCATGCTCTTAGCAAACCTTTTCTGGGGAATAGGAATCCAGTTGATATCTTGACAGTTAAGATTCATCAGTAAAACAGTATAGCTCTGCTTTTGAGCCCTGTTTCAAACTTTCAAAGGAGTGCTTTTTCTCAATTCTATTGGCAGTAAATAAATCTAGCTTTAAAAAGCAGAATTCTTGAATTTCAGATAACCAACAACTATTGTTTTGAATTAGGTGTTAAAAAGTTAAATTGGAAAGGGGATAATAATACATTGTTTATTATCAAGTATATGAATTACAAGTTATGAATAATAGCAAGAGAAAAGATTTGTTTTTTTTAAAGTCTTCTGAGGAATCCTGTATTGTCTGTAATTATTTACTTCTGAAATTAATCAATAGAGTTTGTACTCAAAGAAGAGGGGGAATGATTGATCACATTATGTCAGAGTAAGAATGATATAACTAGAAAATACATTCCAGACAGTTTACTCTAAAAATCATAAATTATCAGGTCATTGATCAAACTGAGTCAGATGATACTTTAAATATTTTTTTCTATTTGATTCCAAAATGTGAAAGTTCATAGAATTCACATAAAAATGAACTTCCTTTTTCCATTTTAAAAATCACATTGGACTCATATTATTGCCTAGTAGTTGGCCCTATTGAATATAGCATGCAGCATCGAATTCCTTACATCCACCCCTTTTCCGATTTATTTATGCCAGGTTCATTTTATTCAATTTATTATCTTTTGGTTGTCTTTGTCATCTGATTTTATGGCTCCTTATTTACACCAATTCCTTCATACTGTATTCAAGTTATATTTGGCTCCAAAAGGAATATGTAATTTACTCCAATCACATAACTGGTACTTTCCAGGGTGTAGAACAAAAATAAAATGGGTTGTTCCTAGCAATAAATAAAAAAGAATGAAATTTGTAATCTAATGCTTAGCATCATAGAGGTTCATTTAAGCCTAGCCAGGAGAAAATTATGTTTTACAGTATGCTTTGATTCTGGAAGAAAGAAGTATGTCAGAACAATTGGAAAGGGGATAATAATACATTGTTTATTATCAAGTATATGAATTACAAGTTCTGAATAATAGCAAGAGAAAAGATTTGGTTTTTTTTTAAAGCCTTCTGAGGAATCCTTTATTGCCCGTAATTCTTTCCTTCTGAAATTAATCAATAAAGTTTGACTGTACTCAAAGAAAAGGGCTGTTTCAAGACAGAGGTTAATGAAGTATTTTGTCTATAAGTATATTTGCTTTAAACATTTACTAACATTAGAATTTTAAATGTGTATATTATATGTATAAGATTTAAATTCCTTCTTAAAGTATGCTGGTTACTTTTTCCAGTATTAATCATTTCCATCCTGATTGTACAAAAATATGCATAAAATATTATTTTTAAATTTTGAAATAAAAGATGTCATTTTTCTAATGTTAAAGTTGAGGTTAGATTAGCTGAATATATCATATTTCTCTACTTTGTAAGGCTCAAGAAACAAATTAGTTATGGAAAGTATAAAATTTAGCTCTTATCTCAAGTAGTAACAAGATAGAGATGTAAACTATTTAAGCAAAGTTTATTTCCCTAAAAAGAAATTCAGTTTATGATTAATATCCCAAAGTATGACTAAAATGTTTTATTATATTAAACTTAAGTTGTACACAATTTGATCTGTCCCAAGTTAACAATTCATTGCTCTTAACATTCAAGCCATGTGTATTAGTTATCTATTGCAGCATAATAGTATTTTCACAAACATAATGAGTTAAAACAAGACATATATCATCTTGAAGTTTCTGTAAGTTAGTAACTGTTTATCTGTGTTCTCTGTCTTACATAGGATTGAATCAATGTATTGGCTTGGACTAATCTTATCTAAGTAAAGCTTGACTAGAGCTCATGTAATTGCTGGTAGGATTCAGTTACCTGTGGGATGTTGGACAGAGGGCCCCAGTCCCTTGCTGAATTCTGATCAGACATTGCTACATGGACAGTTCCACATGTCCATTTAACTTCAGTAAATCCAGCAAGGGAGATAGAGTCCACTATCTCTACTACAGATAGTATGATGTTGCTAGTTATAATCTCATGTAATGTAATCACTGAAGTAATAGCCCAGTTTCTTTGCCATATTTTATTGGCAGAACTTAAAAATTAAGTCATGTTCTGGCTCTCACTCAAGAGGAGAGGGATGCACAAGGGCAGGCATAACAGGAGGGGAAGATTACTGAGGGGCATTTTAGAAACTATCATGTTTCCATAGCTTTCTGCTTTTAACCCTTTTTGAGTTTTTGATTTCACAATCACTATAGTCAACCACTAAATAATGTGACAGCAACTTGTCTTAATGTCTCTTTAACTCTAAAATATTGTACAAAAATTTATCTATTAATAATCAAAGCAGTCAATCAAAAGCTACCTTAGTGTCACTTCTGTGTCTTTCTTTTTATGATGAACTACTGTCATTTTAGTTCAAGGTTACCAAAAACACCCTTATTTCACTGAAATGACACTGTGACAGTGTCCAAATAAATCACTTAGAGAATGTAATTATGCTATCTCAGATAAAGAGAAGTGTCTAGGCAAATGTCTCCTTTTATAATTTAAAAATATTTTTAAAAATTAGTTGTGACCCTTTCAATTGGAAGTTATAGAAATCTAGACAAAGGAGAAACAAAGGAAAATTTATTGTTTCATTAACTGAAACGATGAACTTACTTAGCTTCAAGTATAGCAGCATTTACAGTATTAGTTAACATGTAGATCTGTTTTCAACCTTTGATCATTTCATTTGTGTTGGTATTGTTATCAAAAAGAACCTTCTCAAAGGGTACAAACATTAAAATTCTTGCAAAAAAAACACCCTTTTTTTCTAATGCTTACAGTAAAGTTCCTGGGCAAGACTTTCACTGGTTTTGCATAAGACATATACCACACATGAACAAACAACAAAGTGCCCTCATTGTCCAGGGATAGGTAATGTGTCTATCTGTACACCTACGGAAGGGTAGCCCTACTAGAACCACTTAAATGGAGAATGGAGGAGATGTGTTTTTCCAAAGCAGAATTTGAATGCTGTAATAAAAGAAGGCAGAAAAGATGCAGGGGAGTAAATGAATACAGACATACATATATACTTTATAGTTTTTAATAAACTTACATAGGTGAGTCCTTGTTCTTTAGCAAGAAATAATTATTGAAATTGCATTGAATATATGGATCACCATTAGGTGCTGGAACACATGTAAAATAGACCACTTTACATTTAGATAGCACAGTCAAGCATATGGACTACAGGAAAGAACATAGCAACTTTGACAAGATGTTTATGAATAGTTGTATGTAATTAATTTTTTGAACTATATTTGTAGCTCAGGATTTGTCCTAAAAGTCTTCACTGAAGGCACAATGTAACTGCACAATATAATCTAGATTAGAAGAACTGAGGATAGGGATAAAAATGCGGGCTAATGTTTTTTAAGTATTGGAAGAAAAAGACCATGTGGAAGAAATGGCATAGAATTTATCTTATCAGCTTGAGAAAAGAGTTGAATGCTTATGAAAATCAGATTCATTAGACAGATTGACTGGACTACAAAAAGATTCAGAGATATTGTTAAAACCTTGATTTAATAATTATCTAAATCTATTGGAGCTGGGTGATATAAACACCTATGAGTTATAAAAGTGAGATTATTTACACTAATTTATGAATATAAAGTTATTATACACTAGTTAGTGATCAATATAAAAACAAAAGGGGTATTTTGGGGATGAAATAATATGTTGCTGAAAATACAATTTTTGAAATTATATCATAGTACTGAGGGCATAATATGGTTGCAATTAAGCAAGATAAGTGAATTCAAAAGAAACATGTATTTTATGATGCTAACCATTTAAATATTTTTGGTACAGTGAAAGCTTTGCAGTAGAGCAAAAAGACGATGAGAAAGAGATATCTGGAAGCTGTTTGCTCAAACATGCTAATATATTTGAACAACACAAGAGCAACATTTTACTTTAGAAGTTGAGGTACAAATTGTGTACATTAATTGTTTTCAGTATGTAAGGTATTTTAGAAACAAGTGATAGAGATACAGAAATGGCACATAATAAAGTTGCAGTATGTTTCATCTTAAATTAAAACATACAGGTGACACAACATTCTTAACCAAGATAATTTACATAATTTTGAACATGATTTGTTAGGAAAGAGTCTTAATGTGGTATTTCCTTGAACACCAGAAAATATCATTATTCAAATATGTACACACACACATAAACTAACATATTCTATTATTAAATTCAAAATTCTATGATGGCAAAATGGACTAAAAAATGATTCATCTTCTCCACTTGCAGACCCCCTCCAGTAAGTGAACTTGCAACCAGAGGGACTATGGTTGGTGTAATTTCTGCTGCAGCCGTCAATCAGAGTATTGTGTACTCCATTGTTTCAGGAAACGAAGAGGGTGAGTAGATATTTAGTCTGTGTTTTCACCATAAGCTAATAAAATTGGATTTGAAATTAATTTCAGATCGAATGATTTACCCTATTTTTCTAATAAAAACCTGCCTACCTTAAATATAATTGGTAACCATGTGCTGAATCTGATTAAAAATTTGGTTGTATTAACAAACATGATTCTATCCCCACCCAGTAAATATTTAGTATCCCCTCACCCTCATTTAGAGATATTTTAATGATGTTTTTTCAAAGTTAACATATCGTCCTTTCAGCTTTTGGTCATAATTATTGCTTAAAGTAGTCTCTTCCCACTGTGCTGTACCATCTGTGGCACATTCTCCTATCATACCTTAGCTAATCTTGAAGAAATTTTAGAATCAAAAATAATTGTGAATGCCCAAAGAGCCAGATCCAAGATAAAACCCATGAACATTGATTGTATCATATGATTTCTGAGTCAATTTAGATATACAATTAACAATTATAAGTCAGTGGAGTTTTTTCTACCAATCACTTTTCAGTGAGATAGAATGGCTTGCTACCCTGTGCATATAGATCAGTCTTTCTCACTCATTCTGAGTTTCACCTATTATCCACAGATTAGTTGTCCTCTATTTTTCCCTTTTGATAAGCTAACTAATTTGACATATTATAGGTGATCAAGAAATCGTTAATATGTATTAAATAAACACATGAATATTCAATATTTAAGGTTATAAATGAATGAGTATTAATGCTGGTAAGCGGTTTGCCAGGAAATTAAAAGGCCCTTTCCAAGTATTTCAGTGACCATTACTAGCATTGATGCCACTGCAGCAGTTCCTCACCCTGCTTTTCTTAACACCTTTCTTCTTTGTGTCTGTCATGCTGCTATGCCCTCTCCCTAAATATCACCGAATTTCCTTTTTCCTTGACTTGTAACATTTGTCTGAAGCTGTACTGTCTTCATTTATTCCAATACTTTATCCCTGTGATTCTATCTGGTCTCATCCTTGAAGATAGCAGAGCCACTCTACTTATTACCCTCCTTCCCCAACAATAGCTATCTTTACACTCAGTTCATTGATTTATTAAATTAATTCAACAACTATTAATTGAGCATGTACTAGGTTGTCTTCCAAGCATGCAGGAGAGAGCAATGAACTTAATGGGCAGATACCTGCCCTCACAGAATTTAACAGTTTGATAAGAGAAGATAGGAAATAAAAATCATTAAACTAATAACTATAAAGTATTTTAGATGGTGATAAATGCTATGGAGAAAAATAAATTGAGGAAAAGATATGAAACATGGATGAGATAGGATATTATAAAGTTTACTCATGTGACCTACTTTGAGTCCAATATATATGAGCAAGTTTATTTTTAAAATGCATCATGGAACAAATCCTACCATTTGCAAGAACATGGATGGAGCTAGAGGCTATTATGCTCAGTGAAATGAGTCAGACAGAGAAAAACAAGTGCCAAATGATTTCCCTCATTTGTGGAGTACAACAATGAAGCAAAACTGAAGGAACAAAACAGCTGCAGACTCACAGACTCCAAGTGACTAGTGGTTACCAAAGGGGAGGGCTGGGGGAGGGGTGAAGGGGGAGGGGGAGGGAGGGAGAAGGAGATTGTGGGATATCATGATTGGTGCACATGGTGTGTGGGGGGTCAAGGGGAAGACAGTGTAGCTCAGAGAAGAGAAATAGGGACTCTGTGGCATCTTACTACACTGATGGACAGTGACTGCAATGGAGTATGAGGGGGACTCGAGAATAAGGATGAATGTAATAACCACATTGTTTTTCTTGTGAAATCTTCATAAGAGCGTATATCAATGATACCTTAGTAAAAAAAATTTCATCGTGGTATTTTAAGATATTTAAAATAACAAATTATTTTTTCTAAATAATCAATATATGACCTTAAGTTTTTATCCTAAAGAGTTCTTAACAGAAAAGTAACTCTAAAGGATAACAAGATGCTTTGAATGATAAGAGTATAAGAATCCAATAAAATTATATAAATTTTGGTCAAACAAAATTAAATTGAATTATTTAAAACAGAACATATTATTGCCTTTTAGTATGATGCAGGACCTCATGGATAGTGAGGGATATAGTATTCGTTTCTGAAATTTAATTAACCATGGAAACATTGATTCCCAGGAGAATCTCAAAATAACTAGAAAATCAAGGTATATACTCAAGGATACACCAATGTTGATAATTTGAAGAGCTGGAACATAGTTTCTGAAAGCCAGTGTCTTGTCACCTTTTATGCATCACTCTTGTTACAAATAGCATTTTTAAAATCATGGTGCCTTGTAAAGAGAATACTATTTTCTTAGTGTGTGAGGGAAGTGACCAGGGAATTGTATCTTAATTGTAGATACATTTGGAATTAATAACATCACTGGTGTTATCTATGTGGATGCTCCTCTGGATTATGAGACAAGGACGAGCTACGTACTTCGAGTCCAAGCTGACTCCCTGGAAGTGGTCCTCGCCAATCTCCGAGTTCCTTCGAAAAGTAAGTTTACTTTACTTAAGCATTTCAGAAGTATTTTATGATGTTTCTGCTACTTTCCTAATGAAATACAAATATCTAAAATGAAGTTACCAGTGGAGAACATAAAAAGACCATCAGTTCTTGGAGATGATGGATTGCATGTTCACTTTAACAGCTGATATGTGACAATGCAGAGAGTGGCTCATATTCCTGAAATACCAAGGAGATAACACACTATTTTTATACTTTGTATATAATGTTTTTAGAATGCCATCATTCTAAAATGTGTATGTTAAATAATAAACCCTATTCTTAATCCTTCTGTAAGGCTCTGGTTAATTCTCTAGAATGTATATTTTTAATGGACACATAACTGGTAGACATTCTCTGATTTGTGTAGCTTCTTGTATTTATATATTTTTTGAAAGCAGAGGAAGGTGCATCTTAAAAAGAGTGACTAACATTTATTGTAATTTATATGTATCATATTTAATTAATATCCATTTCCAGGAGAGGAGAATTATTATCCCCATTTTGCAAAGACAAGTAAAGGTTAAGTGATTTTTTAAAATAATGACACTGTCAGTAGATGAAAAGGCAAAGGTTTAAGCTCACATCTTTTGACTCCAAAATCTTTCTTTGACATTCGTGTTTTGCACAAACATAGTTTACCCATACAGAGAAGCAAGAAAAAGTCAATTAGTGAAGAGGACTAGCAGAGATTCTGACAGATATTACCAAAATGAGATCAATGCTATTCTTTTCCATCTATTGAGGTACATCCTTTGCACTTTAATAAACAGTTCCTCTTTTTATAAACACATCCAACTTTTTTAGAATCCAGAAGACTCAAGAAAACCAAATTTAATTTAACCAGTAGTAGTATAGGGACCCAAAGAATGCATGAAGTGGAAAACAGGATCTGAAACATTCACCTTGCAGTGTGGAACCAGTCCTGGACATCAGTCAGAGCACTGCATCCATCAGCATCTTTAGAAGCAGAAGGAGGGAAGAGAAGAGCTCATGAGAGCCAGAGAACGGGTACACGTATGAATGCCAGAGCAAGACAGCCCAAGCAGGGTGCAAAAAAGGAGAATAAAGTGAGAGTAACTGGCAAAAAATGAATTCTAGAATTTTCTCTATCAGTTCAGCAATTGATGATCATAAAAATATTCACTCCATTTCATTTATTTCAAATCTTATTTACTAACCTAGTGTATATAGAGGGCTGCACAGCTGTAGCCAAATCAGATTATACACTTCACGATTCAATGAAGTGTATATACAATGAAAAGACTATACACGTCTTCAATGATTATGTATCACTTGCATAATTAAGTTGTATAAAAATAACAGACTGGTCCCTTGAGTTCTTAAAATCTGTAAACTGTATAAAATTATATTTTTAAAAAATATAGAGGATGCTTCAAATTATAATTGAGTTGACTAAACCAGGAGTCTGAAGGTTAGAGTTGCTCTAAAGTATGTAATGTAACTACCTCATTGTAAATAAAAATAAATGTGGAAGTTGCTCTAAAGTATGTAATGTAACTACTTCTTTGAAAATAAAAATAAATGTCATCTTTCTTTGAAACAAATGAGCAGTTATATTTAGAAAGAAAATTTTGCTAAATTTTTAGGTTGTAGAACAGCATTTTTCAAGAAATAACTCTGATTTCTAAGAGCAAAAACATATTGATATCTCATATGTGAATATAATAAAACTAGTTCTCATTACTATAACTTAAATGTAAATCTAAGGTTAATAGAAGTTTAGTTAATATACCCACCTATACTCATATGTACCCAAATATTCATGTAAAGCTTACACCAATTAGCAAATTGATGAAATACCCTCAAAGAAATGCATGAAGCCTAAAAGCTAAATGTTAGTTGTTTAATGCCTGATACTTTGAATATTGTTATTAACATTTTATGACTGACCTTTGCCTCCTGAAATACAAAAACATGTATTTATTTCAAACAGTTTCATTTATTAATAACTGTTAATGGCATATAATCAGTCCTTAGTTCATTAGCTGTGCAAATAGTAAGTCCATTATGTTAGTTGAGAGTAATTAATTAATTAATTGTTTAGAAGTTTATCCCTGCTTCAAAGTTAGCTGCCCCATAATTTTCAGCTCTACCACATATTATATGAATAAAGGTAAACAGGAGGTTTGATTCATGAAGGAAGTTTTTACTGTAATCTCTTTACCAAGAATTTGTTAATGAAATCATTTTCAAAGTAGGTTTTACAACTATGCTGTAACTGGATTTAATATTTAAATGAAATTAATAATTAAAATAATGCAAATCAGTAATTAAAATTTTACAACTTATTTCATAAATTCGACACTAGGAATACTCAAAATTTAGTATAGACATTTCAAATATATATAAAATTACTGGGAATGTTGTAATGAACTCCAAGTGTCAACTCCCCAGCTTCATCCTTATCAAGTCCTAGGAAACACTGATTCCACACTTTCAGCTATTCCCCAACTCTGTTATTTTGAAGCAGATCAAAAAAATAATATTTCATTTTTTGAAATGAAAAATATGTTACTCTTAAAAATTAATCACAATATCATTATTAATCCCCCCAAATTAATAAACACTCATCAATACTGTCATATTAAAATATTAGTATTCATTTTTAAATATATTAATATAATATACAAAAGGTCCATACATTGCAAATGGTTGATAGGTCTTTCAAGTGCCTTTTAATCTATACGCTTATCTCTCACCACCCCTTTCTTTTATTATGATATTTGTTGTAGAAACCAGACTTCTGAAGCCTGGATTTTGATACCTGTATCTCCAAGAGGTCATTTCATATTTTTGTTTATCTCCTTTATTTCCTGTAAATTGGTAATTTTAGCTGGAGACTTGCTTAAAATCAGGGTTTTTTTTTTTTTTAACAAATAGATCCTGTGATATTCACTCCTTTATTTAGGAGGCACCCCAAATCCCTAGGACTCTCATTTTGTGCTGGTTACAGCCTCTGATAGTCTTTTCCTATCTATTAATTCCTTCCTTCAATTTCTTCTATATTTATTAGCCAAACATTTCTGCCAAGAAAATCTCTATATTAAACATTTGGTTGCCTTTAAGTCCTGCTCTTACAGGAAAAGCAGAAAAAAATTATTTCATTTATTTACTGCTTTTCAACATAATGAGTTGATTCACTATGATACTCCAATTGTAACTTCTGAGCAAACAAATATTTTTGATTTATGGGCCATATGGTCTCTGTTGAAACTATTTAACTCTGTTATTGTAGAAAGAAGAGACAATATATATTTTTTTAAAAGAGTGGGCTGTACTTCAGTATGTACATGAATAGACGTGGCTGTGCTCCAATAAAATCTTACTTACTAAAACAAGTCGTGGGCTGAACTTGACCAAGGGGATGTAGTTTGCTGACCCTTTTTCTAATTCTTCTACTTTAAGTAATACACTTAGCTCCCTACCCCACCCTTTGTTATTATTTGTATATTTCCGACTGTGAGCAGTGCTTCTGCCTCATTGACTTCCTTTTTCGACACATCTAATTTGAAGTAATATTATGTTGTCCCTGTTGATACCAGTAAATAAATTATCTATGGCTTTTCCTTTAGAGAACTCCTCAGAGCAGACTTATAGGAACACCATTTTCTATATTCTTGTGCATTAATAAACGTTTGTCTGTGGTCCTTATAACTGAACATGAATTTAATATAAAAGCCTTAACTCATTTTTCTTTCTTTGACTTAAATATTTCACTCCATTGACACAGGATTGCCCCTAAGAGTGTTTCACCATTTCTCAGTAGTGATATTTAAGTTGGAAATCACCTGCCTACCTTACCAACCTTACCTCCTCCATCTCCAACACCAGATGATGGTAGCCTGAGTGTTTAAAAAAAACAGCTTCTAGTAAACAGGTGAGGAGATGATTAATAAAGAAAAAAGAAGTCTCTTATAACCTCTTCTCCAAAGGTAGGAGATTATCCAGGAACACATCTTAGCTGGGATGGAAGAACAGTTTACTTTTAAGTGAAATTTGAAGTATTGATTAATATATTGAATTAGATGATCTTTTTTTAAAAAAAGCTTAACCATAACTATAGTATTTTCTATTAACTAAAAAAAATCATTTTGTGTCATAGGGTATCTTGAACTTTTATTAAACAGCAGTAAAAAGACTACCTCAAATCAGCAGAAAAAAGGGAGAGTAGAAAATAAAAAATAGACTTTTATAATTATATTCCACATTTCCATATTAAGCATACCATTTTAGAGTGGCTGGAGAGTAGAAGGCAGTCAAAATATTTTGACTGAATTTACACTGTTTTGTATGAAGGCAGGGAGTCCTGTCTGTTATGTTCATTGACATATGTCAATAGTCTAAAATGCAAAACACAAAAATGTACTCAACAAGTACTTTTCCAATGAGTGAAAGTTCAAAAACTTGTCCAGTGGATAATGGGACAGTTAAGGTCATATTATGAAAGGACTTGAATATCAAGCTGATAGTTTGCAAATACATAGCATGTATACCACCCCTGCTCCCTGTACCATAGCCTACTCAGAGCCCTTTCATTGCCATAATTTAGGTAGTCATTGCAATAGATGGGAGACCATGTGCTGTTTTAATCATGGAAATATGCATAGAAGCTCCCTCCTGGTACTTGACATTGTAGGGACTCTGGAAAGCTTTGAAGGATTTCTTTCCCTCCTATACAACTAGAAAGTAAGTGTTGATTTCTCAGCTCTCCTTCAACCACAAACTTTCTTATCCTCCAGATTCCCAGTTTATATTTCTCTTCTGCTGGTCCCATTCTGTCTGGTATCCATATTTTGTTCCCTGGCTCCTATATTGAGCATTATTTTGACTGAATAAGTATCTTCATTTTGTGAGTAAAAGATAAATTGAATGCATTAATATTTCTAATGTTATTTCAAAACTGAGTCATTTTTTTGTTCCTGTCTACACTCCCTACCTCCCTAGACCAACTCAATCTCTNAGACTTG